TGTGTCATGTTGCAGATGATGTGTTCTGTGTGTTATTGTGTCGTGTTGCAGGGGGTGTGTGCTGTGTGTTTTTGTGGGTCGTGTTGCAGGGGGTGGGTGCTGTGTGTTTTTGTGGGTCGTGTTGCAGGGGGTGTGTGCTGTGTGTTTTTGTGGGTTGTGTTGCAGGGGGTGGGTGCTGTGTGTTTTTGTGGGTCGTGTTGCAGGGGGTGTGTGCTGTGTGTTTTTGTGTGTTGTGTTGCAGGGGGTGTGTGCTGTGTGTTATTGTGTGGCCTGTTGCAGGGGGTGTGTGCTGTGTGTGTTAGAGTGTCAGTGTGTGCCTGTTCTGCCCAGCAGCATCAGCATGGAGCCCTGGGGCTGGTGGACCAGCTGCTGCCCCTGAGGCCTCCTCTGCTCCCCTGCTGCCTGCAGCCCTGTCAGCCTCCTGCATTCCAAGTGCTGGGCCAGCAGGGCACCTGCTCTCACCCCTGGGACAGCAAGGCCTGCTGGTTCTCCTCCCCACCTTCTGGTGAGGGTCACCTGGGACCTGGAGTGGCAGGACCCATTTTGGGCTTAAGGAGGTCGATGCCTGGCATCTGGGCCCAGAGGTAGTCCTTGGCCTGGATGGCTGGTCCGTGGAGGTAGAAGGACATGCTGGGCACTGCCCTGGTCACCCTGTAGAGTGATCCCTCAATGCCCACATGTGCTCATGGGAACTGTCCCCAGCCTCGTGCCCAGGCACCTGGGGTGACTGCCAGCTGGCCCTGACTGGCCTGCACTCTCCACTGGGTCCTGCTTCCTTTGAGCTGGTTCTGTCTGGGGGGCATGCATCCTCTCTAGAGGGGGAAGAGGAAGGCTCTTCTTGCTGGCCAGCCTGGGGCTGGTCCTGGCTTTTCTAAACTTTCTGACCTCCTAAGAAATATGAATTTGAAATAGAAAACCACATTCCCCCGTAAACATTCCAAACTAGCGGAAGGGCATCAAACCTTGTGAGCAGGGACGTGGAGACTGGCTCTGGGCCCAGCACCTCTCTGCTGCTGTGGGCAGCACCCTGTGGCCCTGCACCCTTGTTCTGGAGAACCCTCCCCTACTCTGGGCTCAGAGGCCCTGCCCTTCACTGGCTCTACCACCCGGCCAGGCTGTGTGGGCGGGGACCACGCTCAGGTCCTGAAACTGCTCTGGGTGGTGAGTCCTTTCCCAGTGCTGGGGTGGATCCAGGGCTCACACCCAGCCCTGAGTGGTCACCAGGCAGGTCGCACGCCAGCAGACCCCAGTGCGCTGGGTGGTGGTCCTCCACACCCGCCAACTTTCCCTCTCGCCTACCTCTTCCTGTCGTGTGGGTGGGGCTGGGTCTCCAGCCACAGGGCTGCTTCTGGGCTCCCACAGCCTGGTCTTGCCTCCTGCCTGCCTCTGTCTCCCATGAAGCTGGCCCTGTGGCCCTGTCCACTGGTCACACTCAGAATGTAGTGCAGAGTGTCACCTCCAGGTGACACTCAGCATCAGCCACACTCTGCAGACTTGGCTTCCCCAAGGGCCACAAAGGGCTTTGCCCAGCTGTGTTGTGGCCAGGTTCCCAGGCGACTCGAGGCCACCTTGCAGCTATGGACCATCTTGCTGTCCCTTCTCCCACTCGGGCACCTTCCTCCTGATGGCTGCCAGGGCTGCTCCAGAGTGGTGTCCCGGAGCTCTGTGGGTGCCAGGTTGCTGTCCCTGAGGAGGGGGACCTAGAGTCTGGCAGAGCTCCCAAGTGGACGTCTGAGGCAGCACCACCTTGTTTGCTCCTGACTGCCCCTCCCTGCTCACCCAGGAGGCAGGGTTCTCCTGGCCTCTGATGGACCTGTCTGTCCATACAGGAGCCCCAGGGTTCATGGCTGAGCAGCGTTGACTAGGGCTTCCCCAGAGCTTGCCATCGTGTCTGGTGACCAGGGTCCGGCCAGTGGGGCAGCTCATAGAGCACCCTGGGCTATGCCCAGAGCATGCTGGCTGTGACCTGGGGCAGCTTCCCTGTGGGCTGGACCCCTCCCCACCAGCAGGCCCCAGAGTCTGCTGCAGTCACCCTGGGCCATGCGGGGTGTCTACTTGCAGTCCTGGTCCGAGTGGTCTCCCTGAGAATGGCGGGAGGTGCTGCAGCTCACCTGCCCTTGCTAGGACCCTAACTCCCCGGTGCCCCTCTCTGTCTTGCAGATGGGCATCTGTTGTAAGAGCCAGAGGCAGGTCGTCCCTGAAAACCTGGGCAGCTCTGTGAAGACCCCACCGCACCACCTGTCCAGGGTGAACGGCTGGTCGCCCCCTCTGCACTCCTTCCAGGTGGTATGCTGGGCCATCTTCCTGGTCATGTGTGTCACCAGCTTTGGAATCTTCATCCCCTTCCTGCCCCTGGACTGGAAGCTCGCTGCCTACTCTGTATCCTTGCTCCTGGTGGGGCTCCCCAGGCCGCCTGCCGTCAGGGGGATGAGCAGGCCCCATCCCCCAGCAGGCCCGCCCGTGGCTCTGCCCCTGCCCAGGCCAGGCCAGCTGCCCTACTGCTGTGCCACCATGGGCAGGGGCTCCCTGTGCAGCCCACGCTCAGGCCTGGCAGGTGACCACTGGCCTGTGGTGGCAGGGGACACTGAGTGGTGAGCACAGGAGAGGGTGGGGCCTGCCTCAGCCAGCTCCCCCAGGACACTGAGGGGCCCACTCTGGTCGTCCCCCAAGGATAGCAAGGCCAGCAGGAAGGGACTTCAGGACCCCGAGGCTCCACCATGCACCTCAGGCAGGCGTCTCTACGGTCCTGCCGAGTGCCCTGCCTCACAGCTAGCTCTGGTGTGTGGAGTCAGACACCTGTGGCTAAGTCACAGATGGCCTGTTAGCTGTGCCCAGGTGGAGAGTGTCCATCTCTGGGCTGACCTCCCCACTGTGTCGGAATGGGAATGGTCTGTCAGGCCGCTGACCATGGCATTTGGCAGGAAGCCCCAGGCGCCGCCCCCTCACTGAGACCTTAGGACAAGTGGACAGGGGCGGAATGGGCCTGCTTGGGGGACACACCTGATGGCCGGGTGCTAGAGCCCTCACTGAGCCACCATCGACTCATGCGGCCCTCTGCTTTGGCTGCCCACGCAGGTCTGGCAAGGGAGAGACGCAGGGTGTGGGATGTGGGCAGGGAGGAGGCGCAGCAGGACCTGGGCATGCAGCCGTGCCAGGACCCAGCTCCCCTGCACCGGGTCTGCTCTGCCTCTGGGTGTCCTTTCCAGAAGCTCCCACTGTGGGGGCCCTGCTTCCAAGACAGAGCGTGTGCAGTGGGCCTCTTTCCAGCACCGAGGCCGCCCCGGGTCTGCGCCTGGCTCCTCCCTGTGTGGGGGCAGTGTCGCCCAGGGCTGCTGCCATCCAGCTGGACGGGGCTCTCTTTCCACAGCGAGTGGCTCGTCCTGCGGAAGCCCACACAGCGCCTCTGGTGCACCTGCTCCACGTCGCCGGGGGTTCTGAGAATTCACTCTTGGGGACTGTGGCTGCTGAGTGGTGCTCGGTGGCCTGGGGTGCTCCCTGGCGGTTTCTGTCATAGATGGCGTGCTCTTCAGACTTTCTGCTCCACCTCTGTCCGCGGTGGCACACTGGATTCTTCAGGAAATTCCAGCAGCTCATTCAGTTGTCAGGTGAACAGGCTCAGAGCCTGGGCCCATGGCGGCCCCTGCTCGTGTGGTGATGAGCCGCTCCTTCCTGTCTTCGTCCGCTGTCCTAGGGCTTGTCACCTCTGTGGCTCTTGTGGAGAACCAGCGTGGGGACGTTCCTTTCTGTCCCGTGCCTGCCCTTTCTTCAGCGGGCCACGGGTTTGCTGTGCCCTTCCTTCCACATCTTAAGGTGGGACCTCGGGCCACCCAGGTGGACGTGTCCTGTTAAAGCTGCGGCTTCCCCATAAGCACACAGAGCTGGCACACACAGTGCACACGCGCTCACACAGGCAGTGCACACAAGCGTGGGCAGGCAAGTGCCTTTGGCTCTCCTTCGCGCCCCTTCGAGTTCAGATGCTGCCCGCCCCAGACCTGGCGCTCTGCCTTGGGTCTGGGACGCCCTCTGCAGCCACGGTTTCCCTGAGCACCAGGCCCCGCCACCTGCACTTCTGGAGTGGGCGGGTGAGGGGGCTGTCAGTCCTACCAGGGTCCGAGGCTGCATTCCAGCCAGAGGTGCTAGGAAGGTCACAGTGCACGTCCCTCTGGTCCTTCTTGTGATTTCAACTTCTATTTGAAATAGAGGCTGCCCAGAGCCAGCCTGGGTGGCCCTGACTGGTCAGAGTGGGCAGCTGCACATCCCCTCTCCCAGAACCCCAGAGAGGTGGGCAGCAGCACCCACTTCCCAGGGGAGCCCTTTATGGAGGCCTGGGTCCTGCCAAGTCACCAGCACAGGGCCCCAGGAAGCTGCACCCTGACCACACCTGGACATGCATGTGGGGCTCAGGCATCATTGAGGAAGGGTCTGAAAGTGAGGCACCGTAGCCTTGGGCCGACTGATCCCAGTTCTCGGTGGTGGCCCTCCCCACCACCCTGTGCCCTCCGCGGAACCTGGTGCCCTCCTGCCTCCTGTGGCAACCCCCAGACTCTGATCTTGGCCTGGAGAATGTCCTCTGTGGCCTGACGCCCCAGTCCTCTGCCCCAGTCCCCAGACCCTGAAAGCCTGTCTTGGGCAGCCTCCCCAACCTAGAGCCTCCCACACCCAGAGTTCCACGGACCCCAAGACCCCACCGTGGATCTCCATGTCCCTCAGGGTGGCCTCCTGGGTCTCCTGTGCGTGCTGAGCTTGGGGATGCTTCCCATGCCATGGTCGCCACCCCGGCTCACCTTCCTGCTTCTGCACAGGACGCCCCAGGTATGAGCACCCCACAGAACCGTGTCTCACTGCGATGAGAAGCAGCCAGTGGCCCTGTGACCCTCCAAGCCCATCCCAGATCTCTGCAAGCCCCCCATGACCTTTGCCGGGCTTTTAGCCCAGAATCTGGCCAGGGCTCGGGACTGAGGATGATCACAGAGCCTCTTGGTCTTTGGAGTCCAGTACACTTGCCTTCTGCTGGCCACTGCTGGCCTTGCCCTGACCCTGGGTCTTTGGGCATCCAGGCTGGCTGCACAACCTGTGGCCTGCCTGGTGGAGGCCAAGCGGCTTCTGCAGAAGGCAGCAGGGCAGTGGTGAGCCATGCACACAGGGCCAGCACTTTCAGTGGGGACACCACTTCTCTTAGGGAGAGTGGACAGAATCAGCCCTAGGACGGTAGGTGTGCCGCTCTGTTCCCACAGCCCCCTCTGGTTGCAGTCCTGGGGGCTGCCCACCTCGGCCAGCTCATACCCTGCCAAGAGGGCCTCCAATCCTCACAGCTGTGCTGCCTCTTGGGCCTCTGCCTCCAGTGTTACCAGCTCCATGCACACGAGAGCCATGGCTCTGCCAGGCACACCAGCAGCAGACGTGTCCCTCCGTTCTGGCTACAGATGGCTGACGGGAGGGTGAAGGAGGGCTGAGCTCTCTCCCATCCCAAGGCCCTGGCCTCTCCCTGTGTCCACTGGCCTCTCCCTGTGTCCTCAGGTCACCTGGCCACCTGTGGGTCTGTCTCTGGCCTGTCCCCCTTCTTATAAGACCTGCAGGGCTTCTCTAAAACCCGTGTTTTGACCATATTGAGACCCTGTTTCTGTGCAAGGCCCCGTTCACGAGCTGGGAATCAGGGCTCAGCATACGTGGGATGTGGCTCGACCCTCAACCTGTGGTTCCTCTGTGCACCTTGGTGGCCCACTGTCCCGCTGTGGCCCTGGGGCTTGAGCTCTCTGGAGGGGCCTCTGCAGCCCACCTCTCTGTTTCTTCAAGGAGCCTGGGCCCCACCTTGGGCGGCTCAGATCTCTGTCCTGCAGCGTCCCTGTCCTTCTGTCCAGGGCCTGGTTGCCTTCAGAACCAGTTTTCCGGCCACAGGGCTTGGTGCTGTGCTTCGGCCACAGGGGGGCGCCAGCGTTGTTTACTCTGGGCAGCAGTGGGTGGACTCTGAGAGGGCAAGCCGCAGGGGGCAGCCCACTCTGGAAGGAGCTCCAGGCGGCCAACCTGAAGGGCCCCAGGGCTGCACAGCTGGCTCAGGGGCACCATGTGGAGGGGTTAGGACTGTATTTAATCTGGAGAAACCTCTGCAAAGCCCATGTTGTGGGCGGGCAGTGTGAAGGTGGCAGCGGGCTCGGGCTTCCTGTCCCCGGCCTGAGAGCTCCGCTGTGGTTGCTGGAGGGGGACAGTACGTGACCCAGCGCTGGGAACGCTGCTCTTCCTGCGCAGAGCAGGACAGGAGAGGTCAGCGGCCAGGGCGAAGGGCGTGTGTGCTGGGCTGGCGCCCTTCCGCTGTTTGTTTACCAAACACAGATTGTTGCTAGGGAATGTTCCAGCACCGGCTCACACAGCTCCAGGCCGAAACTGCAGGGGAGGCCCTGCGCAGGAGAGGGAGGGTCCCCACTCTTTCCCTTCTACTCCCCACTCGGCCTGAGGCTGCTGGGGGGTGGCTGGAGGGCAGGAGCAGAGGCAGGCCCCGCGCCCTGGAGGTACGTCCTGTCCCAGCTTGCCCCTGGGTGGCTCCCCAGCTTGTGGCTGAGAGTAGCCAGCCAGGCCGTGGTGATCACTGTGTAATCCATTAAGGTCACCAACACCATCCTGTGGGTGACATGAATGTCACAAGAGGACAACCCCAGACCATGTGCTTTTCTGGACCTGCTCCAAGCCTGTTGATGAGCAGGCAGGGCATGCAAGGACGAGGGAACTGAGCCTAAGCTCTCTCCTCCCACGAAAGGCTTCGTGCCCAGAGGGCATGTCCAGGGGCAGCTTCGTCCTGGCAGCCCCGGGTCCCTGTGGAAATGGGACCCCTTCTCTCCCAGATGACTCTGTCAGGGTGGCCCTGGCCACAGCACCTGCAGGCTGGGTGTGAGCATCTCCACCTGGAGGCTCAGGGGACCAGCCTCCTGTTTCCCGCAGCGGCCCACGTGTTCACAGAGATGAGGCTGTGGGTCTGGAGAGGTGGAGCGTGCAGTGGGTGTGGGACAGGGACCTGTCCTGCCTGCCTTCCCTGCCCGGCCCCAACTGCTCACCGGCTTCCAGATAGGTGAGGACTGTTGTAGCTCCAGGTAGTGCAACTTCCTGTCTGGTCTGTCCCTGACCCTCACCCACCAGGGTCTTGCAGTAGCACCTCTTGCCCTCAGCTTGGCCTGCAGGGATATGCTGGGCTGTGCTCTGTCAGAGCTTCACATGAGAGCCAGCCCCGCACTTGGTCCACTGACCATGCTGCCCCGCTGACCCTCACCCTGTGGGAGCCACAGCCTCAGCCTCTTCTGCCCAGGGCAGGGTGGTGCTGGCCTCACCCCAGCACTGGGGGGTCAGAGGAGTGTGGGAAAGACCTCTGTGCCTGTCACACAGTCTGACAGGACCCGTGTGCCTGACAGGACCTCTTTTCTTTCCTCCGGATGTTCCCTGGGCCTGGCCAGCACTCATCATCTCCCCACCCTGCTGTCCAGCTCCTCGTGGGCATGCTGCCTGACCCTCTTGGTGTCTTGCTGGCTCTGCTCCGCCCTCCTCAGGGGCATCTGTGAGAGTCTTTCCCAGCTCCAGGACAGAGCGGCACTGGGCCTGCCGCGGGTGGGCAGAACCAGCTTCTTCTGCGCCTAGTCCTCACCACGGGCGGAGCACTGCTCTCAGAACCCTGTGGGAAGCGTCCCCAGCTCCCGGCCTACCCGGAGCCCATGGGGCTCTGTGATAGAGCTGAGGGCCGTGGGCCAGGGCATAGACCCCGAGCCCCAAGAAGGAGCTGGAGAGGCTTCTGCTATTAAGGTCCCTGCAGCAGAGTCAGGCCTGGCTCAAAGCCTGGCTCAAAGCCTGGCTCAAAGGGTGGCCTGCCTGTGGTAGCCTGTGGGACAGGGTCCCACCTGTTCCCTTCGGAGGTGCCTGGGGTCTCCATGCCTCCGTCTGGGAAGGGGCCAGAGCCAGAGCAGGGAGACGGGAGCCCTATGCTTCACAGCCCTCTGTCTGCTTTCCTGGGCCAGAAGAGGTAGGATCTGGGGGTCCTGAGGGGCCCAGCCCCCTCCACTTAAGCTGAGGCTGGTTTTGGACGCCTCGTCCTGGCCGCCTGGCTGGAGTGCCTCTGGCAAGCAGCGTCCCCTGGGCCATGCCCCACTTTGCACTGCTGAGAGGCCCCAGGGGCCTGCGGCTGGGGCTGCCCCTTTCCCCAGCCCTGCAAGGCTCCGGCTCCCACGGGGGCTTCGGGACATGTGTGCCCCACGCTCAGTTGCAGCCCAGCCGAGTCCCTGGAGGTCTGGGTGTGCGATACGGATCTGCCAGAGGTGCAGGCTGCAGGCAGTGCTGGACCCAGGAGTCCAAAGGGCCCTCCTTTGTCCCTGCCACCAGCCATGCTGCAGGGACACCTTGCATCACACTGACCAGGCCAGCCCGAGTGTTCCTTGACAGCCCAGGTGATGGGAGCTGTGTTCCTGTTCCACATGTTGGTCCACCTGATTGCTGTTACCATTGACCCGGCCGAAGTCAACGTGCGACTTAAAAGCTATGCCCAGCCCGTGCCGACCTTCGACCGGTCCAAACATGCACATGTGATCCAGAACCAGTACTGCCACCTGTGTGAGGTCACTGTGTGAGTGCCCTGCCAGACCCCCGAGGTGCCAGGGCCACCTCCTGGGGTTAGGCTCAGAGACAGTAGCTGATCCTGCTGGGGCTGGGGCTGGGCTGGCCTGGGGTGCCGTCCCTGGATGGCTGCATTTAATTCCTCACAGCTCACCGTGGGGCCGATGCTCCGTTGTCCCTGCATCCAGAGGCAGGGCAGGGGCTCCTGGAGGGGGGCTCAAGCCTGGCTCACCCCTCACTCAGTGCTGTCCTCCCCATCCTCCCCAGGTTTCCAGATGAGCCCTGCCCCCGGGGAAGAGGGTGGCCGTCACAGCTGTGCCCGTCAGTGTCCCAGGTCTCAGGGCCCTGGGCACCCGTGTCGGGAGATGGCACGGCTGTGTGGGGTGCGGGGCAGCTCAGAAGGCATGGTTGGGACCGTGTAGCAGGTGTGGATCAGCGTACGTGGGCTGCTAGGGGCAGCCATCTTCCCCCGGGGTGGGTTCCTCCTACTCTGCAGCCACAGAGTCTAGCAACGATCCATCCCCAACAGGCCTCCAGTGCCCTTCCTGACTCCAGGTGGAGGCCTCAGCCTCCCTTCCCTGCTGGACACCCAGTTCCCAGACCACATGGGGCCAGCTCTCCTGGGCCAGCCCCGCCTGGCCTGAGGAGGTGGGCCCTGACCCTATGGGTCTGCACCCTTGGGCTAGCAGGTTCCTGCTTCCCTTCCAGGAGCGAGAAAGCCAAGCACTGCAGCTCCTGCAACAAGTGCGTCTCCGGATTCGACCACCACTGCAAATGGCTCAACAACTGTGTGGGGAGCAGGAACTACTGGTGAGGCTGGCAGAGGACCGCCAGGTGGAGGCCAGCACGGGGGCGGGGGCTGGGGGTGGGCCATTGTAGGGCCACAGCCCTGACCCCGGCGGGGTAGAGCTCAGGGCCTGAGCCTCACTGTTCTGGAACGTGTTTGGTGGAGCCGTCCTGGACATGACAAGGCTAGTCACCAGAGAGCCCCTAGACCTGCTTGCTTCCCAGGCCTGCCCACCTCTCCACACCCAGGCCTGCACCCCAGGAGTGGTGGCCAGACCTGGAGCATGTAAATGAGCATCCAGGTGCAGGATGGAGGTGCCTCTGGGTCACTGGACAGAGGGTCCATGGCGTGCTCAGTCCGCTGTGCCTGGGCCCAGGGTGGACATCAGCTCGGCAGTCTATGACCGTCAATGGGAAGAAACAGGTGCCCGCCACCCTGGACTGACGCGGGAGACCAGGCTCTGGTCAGCCCTGCGGCGTGGCAGCACACCGGCTACAGTAGGAGCTGTGGGCTCAGGTCCCACTGTCCTGCCAGGCACCAGGGTGCAGTGACGCCAGGCCCAGACGTGGGCCCCGAGTGGCCCGCACGACAGCAGTGGTGGAGCCAGGTGGTGGGATGGGCCTGAGAGGCCCTGACCTGCACCCCTTGAGGGGGGCTGCCCGGCAAGGGCAGAGGCGGGCTGCACCCCTTGGTGCCTGAGCAGCCTGGCACAGCAGAGGCCTCGGGCAAGGCCAGCACATGGGGCAGAGCCAGCACGTGGGCCTAGGGAGGGTCTGCTCTTCAGAAGATACCATGGTGAGCACCAGCTCAAGGTCACGAAGGCAAGGGCCTGGGGCAGCACCGGCCCCATGCTGGCACAAGCTTCTTTGTCCCTTCATCCCCTGGAGGCCAGGAAAGCAAGAGAACAGTGGCACTTAGAATGTCATCTGGCCCCTGAAGTGGACAGAACACACACAGGGCTCTGGGAAATGCTCTTGTGCCTCAGCAGTGAGGGAGGGGGACACGCCTGGCCCAGGGATCAGCACGTGGCCTTGCAGACTGCCTGCAGAGGATGAGCCAAGGCACAAGAGAGGAAGGGACAGAGGGACAGCACCTGCAGGATGGGCAGTGAGGAGGACACGCTCTGGAAGGCAGCAGCTCTGTGAGGTTCCACAAGGCCTTGGGCTCTGCTGTCCGTGGCAACAGGATGGACACAGAGAGGCTCAGGTGGGGGGCATGGGGCATGACCAGTGTCACAACAGCCAGTAACGTCAGCCTGCAGACTTGAAAGAATGGTCCAAAGAACAAGGGCAGGATGGACGGAGGAAGGCCCAGTAGCAGGCGGCCTGGATCTGGGTGCGCCTGCTCCAGGCGGACGTGGCTGCGGGAGGCCTGCGGCTCTGGCTAGGTCCTGGCGGGATGCCTCAGCCGTCCCTCTCCTCCCTCAGGTTCTTCTTCACCTCTGTGGCCTCAGCACTGTGTGGGCTGTTCTGCCTGATGGTCCTCCTGCTGTACGTCGCCATCCAGAACTTCGTCAACCCCACCAAGCTCCGCATGGACCCCCTGTACCAAGGTAGGCTCCCGGGCTTTTGGGCTCTGGGCCAAGCCCGGCCCCAGCCTTCTTCCTGGGAGAGTCTTCAGTCTGAGGGTGCCCCCGTTCCCCCAGGCTCTCCCTAGCTGAGCAGCAGCCCAGCACCCACACTCTGGCCAGTGATGTCCCCGTGCCCAGGGGGCAGGCATGCTGCTCTGAGGCCTTGTGTCCAGGCAGGGTGGGTATGTGCCCCGGCCCTCCGGCACCTCTCCATCAGCACTGAGCCCAGGCCAGCCAGACTCTGAGCCACGAGGGGCAGAGCAGCAGGGGCCTGTCTTGCCAGGAGCAGAAGCAGCCAGGGAGGCAGAGCTGCAGGCTCCGGGGCAGCACTTGACTGGGTGGGTCTGGCAGCCCAGGCTGGCTGCAGAAGTCTGCTCTGGAGCAGATGAGATGGGCAGGCCATGCCTGGCCTCTGACACACGCCCACGTCCTGACCTCATGTGTAGAGGAAGGCCTTGGCAGACATGGTCAAGGTCTGCCCATGAGGAGCTCGCCCCAACCCAGGATCAGGCCCTGGAGGGACAGAAGAGGAGACACACACAGGCCCTGTGGAGAAGGAGAGGGAGTTGGGGGCTGAAGCCAGTGGCCACCAACCCAGGGCTGCCAGAGCTCCCAGACAGGACCTCCCAGGAGCCTGGGGGAGTGTGGCTCAGCACACTCTGATTCCAGACTTGCTTCCAAAGTGGACCCGATAGAGGGGGCACCAGCTTGTGGTCATTGTCACAAGAGCCCAGGACACTGACCAGGAGCATTGTGGTGGGGCCAGAGCGTGGCTGGCCGTCTCAGCCCCAGGCACCACAGGAGCACCAGCTCTATGGCAGGAGGGGCAGAACCTGCTGTGGCTGGCTGTCTCAGCCCCAGGCACCACAGGAACACCAGCTCTATGGCAGAGGGGCAGAACCTGCTGTGGCTGGTTCTGAGACACTCCTGAGCCACCGTGTGGGAACACCCTCCAGGAATGACCTTGAGGTCCAGGGAAGGCCTTCGGCCTCTGTGTCCCCGTTCCCCGCCCAGGACTTCCAAAAGCTGCCTCCCCTGGTGGCTGACCCCACAGACCAGAACCACCACGATGCTCTCCCCTCTGGGGAAAGAGTTCCTCCAGACCACAGACCGGCCTTGCTCCTGTGGGGCACGAGGCAGCTTCGAGGGGAAGAGCAGGGGCCGTGGCCGTGGGTCTGCCCGGTCACGGGGTGTGGTGTGTCTCAGGGAGCACTTGGGCCACTCCAGGCGGCTCTTTGTGCGTGGCTGAGGCAAACTCCTGGCTCGTTGTTCCAGAAGTCTCCGTGGGGCATGGCCTCCCATACACTGGACTTCATCATGCCAGTGCTGGACACAAGTGGGCTGGCATCGAATGTCCCCACCTGTCCATGAGGCAGCAAGGGGCTTTCCCTGTCAGATGGCACACACTGGAACCTGTCTAGAAAGAGTCCAGTCCTGACCTAGAACACATCATGGGGCAAAGGTCACCTTGGGCATCCAGATCTGCCCAGCTGTACCCACAGCCCTTGAGGACTCTCTGACACCTGAGTTTGGAAACAGCGTGGTTCTGAGCATGGGCAGCCCTTCACAGAAGGCCCTGCCCGGGAAATGCCCCCAGGCAGGGCTGTGGCCTGCCAGGTTGACCAGGGACAGAGGGGCCCGGGGCCTGTGGGAAGGGAAGTGCTAGGGGACAGGTGGCTGTCTCCTCCCTGAGCCTCACCTGCAGATCCCCGGGCCCTCGGCAGGGGTGGGGCGCAGCTGGGGGCCTGCCTGGGCTGGGCTGGCGGCGGTCAGCAGGGCTGGCTGCAGGTGCCTCCCTTGTCTCCACAGATGTCAGGTCTTCCAACCAGTGGCTGCTGTTCCTGCCCCTGTGCCCCGTGCAGGTGAAGACCCCCGTGGTCTTCTCCATCCTCACGGTGGTGCTGCTGCTGGGCTCCACCAGCTTCGTGCTGCTCGGGCACCTGCTGGTCTTCCACCTGTACCTGAGTACGTACCTGACAGGGCCCTGGCGCTCGCCTTCCCTGACCCGAGGCAGGTGGTGCGTTGGGCAGCCTTGCCAGAAAGGAGCCAGGGCACAGGGTGGGTCACAGGGAGGAAGGAGGCCAGGGAGGCTCAGCAGGCCTGTGAAGGGCAGGACCCTGCCGAGGCGTCAAGACAAGTCAGACGTGTGCAGAGTCGGGGAGCAGCACTGTCGCCAGTGCAGGACCGGAAAAGCCCCAGGCAGACACCCTACCCAGGAGAGGCCCAGCCGGCTGGACAGCCCCTCCCCGACACGGCCGGAGGACCCTGGGCGTGCAGAGTCGGGCCGCCGTACACCGCCCGCACTCTGCCGTGCTGCCACCAGGAGCCTCCTGTTCTCTGGGCAGTGACAGACGGGCAGTGGGCTTGGGGGAGTCATTCTGACAGAGGCCTGCTCTGAGGTGGAGCCAGGCCAGGCTCGGCCTCACCTTAACCATGTTGTGTCTGTCACCCTTCCTGGGCCTGGCAGAGGGGAGGCCCCACAGGTGGCCCCATAGTGTCCCCACCAGGAGAAGGCTGGTGACACATCTCGCCCCAAGCATGGAGCACTGTGGTCCTGCCCTCGACGTCACCCTCTGACTGCATCTTGTGGGGGCCATAATGTGTTGTTTTCAGAGCTTTGGCTGGGAATGGCCAGGTCAGTGGGGTACACAGAAGGTCTGTGTTGCTGGAAGAGAGTGACCCTTGACCCCTCTGGACTGGGCAGGTCCACCAGGGACAGGTGCTGTCTTATCAACATGGAGCCCTCCGGAGGACCTCATGTTCCTGCAACCAGATCTCTGGAGGAAGGGCAGTCCCCCGGCCACCTTGGGAAGGGTTTCTAAGACACACTCCTTTCTAGACCATCTAGAAACATCTTATGAGTCAGTGCTCCCAGATTCGTTGACTGCAGTCTTTCCTGGGGTCTGCCCACCCAGGATTTATTCCCCTCCTGGCCAACACCGC